AGTCTCAGGTGTTTAGCCTGCTTTAGTGGTTGATCCCAGTACATCCCTAACGGGACGAAGCGTCGCCCTAACAGCACTGCCTATAGGTCTGTGCCTTTACAGAAGTAAAGGGGATCGAGGTATCAAGAAGACTTGGGCAGCCACAAGTCTTATAGAGTGAGGAGAGAGCAAAGGTGCTGAGTTAAAGCTGTAATATTGCCTAGGTCAAGCTGAGGAGCCTTGACTGTCTATGCTACTGTATATATAGTAATTGGCAATGATGCTGAGTAAGAAGTAATAAATAAGCAACTAAATGGGATGAGTAAGTATGGCATCTGATTGGTGGATAAGAGGCCATGAGGGGGACCCAGGTAGGCATGTGGGAATAGATAAGGGACCATGAGGCAGACCCAGGTAACATGTGGGAACAGATAAGAGTCCATGAGGCACAGAAAGGGGGACAGGTGTCAGACAATGTGTATGACACCTGTCAGAAGTCTGGACTAAAGGGGAAAAGAGGAAAAACTGTAACAGTGGCTAGAAGCCTCTCGGTGACTTTGCCGCCAGCATCTTCAACCGAGAAGGAGACTCCGCAATTCTGGGAACTGGTGAATGTCTCAGGCTTACGAATCCAGCGGAACTCGCTGGCCAGGGTGATGCCCTTGAAAGCAGTAGATTCTTTTATAAACATGCCAACCGCCTTGGCCTCGAGGGCTTCATCGGCTAGCCAGTCCCATACCGGTACATGAGCAAGTTGAAATTTTACTGTTTTAACCCACGGTCTGAACCGAACTGCCCCTTCACCCATCCCGGGGATGGATTCAATAGTGTTCGATACGGTCTCCACCAGTCCTATGAAGCTCTCCAAGTTGATGTGATCATCCATGTTGACTGCGATGTTGTTGCCTTTTGTCCATGAGACAAGCTGGATGGGCCTCCTGGGTGGATGTCTTTGAAGAGGCCTCTTGCTGTTTTTGTGAGGGCCATGTTGAGGGCTGCCGTGATGCGGGATGGTGGTGGGCAGGTGGCGGTGTTGGCAAACCTCTGCTTGTCACCAGGCATTGCTGAGATAATCCATCTCTGGAGGGAATGTGCCGTGTCGAGTTTCGTTGTCCGTTTCGCTTTCTGTTTGGCAGGTTTGCCATTTTTGCCAACTGATTGGAATGCGTTGAGGCCTTCAACAGCGGGGCGCATGCTGTTGATAGTGGAATGAGAAGCCTGTACTGAGATTAGGTTTGGGAAATGTGCGTTAGTGTATACTTTGCTCGCTGGGAGGACTATCGGTGTGTTTGACATGATGTTGTATTTCCGGCACAGGGCTTCGTATTCTAGAGTTCAGGTGTCACGGTCCCAGGTGCCAAGTTGGGGGTTGTCGAGTGAGGCCTTGAGAGACTCAAGTTTGCGTCTGTCCGTGTCGGGGATGTCCTTGGATTTATTTTCGACGTTGGCTGGGCCGTGGGGAGTGAAGCTTGGTGAGGCGGGGTTCGTCGGTGCAATGGGTGACTTTGGTAGCCTTGGTTTTAGTGCTGGTGCTGTTAGGTTGGTGGCCTTCTCTACTTTGTCATTGATTGCTTGGATTGAGGCTTTCATTTCTTGGCACATTTCGGACATAATATTGAGGACCTGTTTTAGGAAGATGTCAGACTCATTAGTGGAGGGCTGGGGGACTGGAATGCCGTATTCGTCGATCCATTGCTGGTCTTCTTGCATGTTGTTGTTGTTGTTGTTGTAGTCGAGATTGTTGTCGATACCGTTGTTGATTGGGGGGGGTCTTGGTTGGAAGTCGGTTCTGAGCTCCACCAGGTGCCGAACATATTCTGCTGTGGCTTCGAGCCAGTCCATCAGGACCGCCAGCTTGTTAGTCGAAATATTATCTGTAACAATTTCAAAAGCTGGGGTGTCAGTGTCCCCGTTCTCGTTTCCCCTTACTTGTAGGCCATTCGTAAGGTAGTCCAAGTGTAAGCCCATTCTGAGCAGATGGTGCGAGTAGTCGTGGACATTCCAAGTGTCGTTCCCTTGGGTGAGTTGGTCAAAGTGTGCCCATCCTCGGCGGGCAGTTATGTGAGACCAGCCGGTTTCTGGGGCCGGGAGCCGGTTATGAGTGTCGCCATGTGGCGGGAGGTGTTTGGTGGGAGTGCTGGCCTCGTCGTTCAGGAGTTCCAATTGGCCGAACGCGGAGGCTGGAGTGCCTGCTTGCGAGAAGTTGTCTAGGACCGTTGGGCCTGTTGCTGTGGGTCCTAGGGCATGGCCTATGGAGGACAAGTTTGGGAGTTGCGGCGGTGGTCCGACGTGAGCCGGGGTTGTGAAAGTTTGAGCGTGGTGTGTGGTGTTGAGGGGACCTGCTGATGCAGATGCTGAGAAAAGATCGGGCATGGCTGTGGCCAGTATTGGCTTGCCATTGGGCTATTTTTTCGGCAGAAGATGCTTAGTCAGCGGGCGATGGTGGTGGTACCAGACAAAGGGCTGGTGGTTAGGCTTCATATATGGGTGCGTGCCTTGACCTCAGGACTCCTTTCTATTGATTACCTGGGTGTATGCATCATGTACTAAAATCGAGCCTTAATACAGGATACAGCTGGCATGGAGTGCTTCCATACAATCATGTGTTCGTACTACCGCGGTGCGAAGGGTATCATCCTTGGTGTGTAGCTCACTTTTATTTCCTTACATGGAAGATTTATTCACGCAACAAGAAGTATACGACGTCTTGAGCCTCTCGTCGCTCGAGGCGATACGAGGATGGTACGAAGAGGTCGAAAAGTATGCCCCTAAAAATGCTTTCATAATTCTTGTAGGTAATAAAGCTGATAAGGTGTGCACCTAGTTCCTAGAGTCCAATATAAAATTTTCTAACAATATTAATTTATACCAATGCCCCCTGTGATTTTCCAGCAATCATCTCGCCAAGTCTCCACCGCTGCAGGCAAAGCATTTGCGGCGCAGATGTCCAGGCCGTTCCTCGAGGCATCCCCCAAGACTGGTGCAGGCGTTCAAGAGGTGTTCGAATGCGTAGTCAGGAACGTCCTTGCTACAATGACCTTGCTGGAGGTTGAACCACCCGGTGGGGGGAATACGATTAATCTGCCATCCACCGGAATCAGCGGGAGGGTCATTTGTTGAAGTGAAGCACAAGAACTATTCAGGAGTATGTCAATCAGAAGTAATAATAACCAGATGTTGTCCTTATCCAAATACTGCATGATCTCAATGGAGTGATATATTACAACACATGCTGTGATACACCACAATTTACAACTTCGATGGTTCAGGTGGAAGAGCGCAGGAGCGCCAGTCAATTTGGAATGGCTTCCCGAGAATCCTGGTTCGACGTGAGCTAGAAGGATTCCATTTCCTACCTTGGGTGGGGAACCTTCCAGGTGCGCGATGGTCTTGCCAGCTGGATCAGTGACTTTATATTTCACGTGGTTTCATCTTTCAATCACTTTTCGAGAACTGGGGAATTTATTGATGGTACGAAGGTAAATGTAAAGTGCGCCGCTGGTCGTGGTGAACACTGCATCAGGCTCAATTCTGTACGACTCGGGTCGTATGGAATGGCACAAATGGATAGGTTTTGTCCCCTCAAAAGATTCAAAAACGCTCTGGATTTGTATCTTGTATACCCTGACTTCCAAACTACCTTGAACCCACATTCTCCACATTGCCAATCCACACCGCACCAGGGCAGCAGGCTGAACAGTCGCAAAATGTACTACAGAACTGGGAGGATTCCTTCGAACCGGCGTCGATCCAGTGACCTCGGGATGAGCTACTTGTTATCCAATTACAGTCCCGCGCTCTTCCAACTGAGCTATCGAAGGTATACGCCTGTGTTAGGCAATTAAAAATCCGGTTTCAAATCAATAAGCTAGGTTTTAGGTATAAAGGGCCTAAAAGGGCAGAGGTCGACGCTTAGGGCCTGTTTGGCAACGGAGGTCCAAGGGATTGATCACATACAGATAGCATCTCGCACGGGACTGATCCCAGCAGAATCGCCCTCCCGCCAACTTCAGCCAAGTGATCTCGTAGGGAACCTGTCACATATGTGACAATGAGATTAGATTGTGGATAAAACTGTAAAATCGCAGCTCTCCTCCTCAATAGAAAATTTTATGACCCATG